GGGGAGTCTCCAGACCCAAGACATACACAGTATGAATCTGACTGGTAACATGACCCAATTCGTCAAAGAGAAAGAAAGAAAAGAAAGCAACACATGGAGAGAGAGGGCCATTCCTCACGACCGTCTGACACAACATGATCACGGAACAAAAGACAGAAAGAGGAAAGAATGAGAAAAGCATATCTCACTCAACAACGACCGGATACATCCACAGACCTCCAAGAGCCCACTGATGGTTAGGAGCCATAAGAAACAGTACCGGCCTCAATTTTTTACGTAAGACAGTCAGCGTTATATGTGCCACTGATCTTGCAAGATCAAGCTAGACCCCAATCCCCCCCCCCCCCCCCCCCCCCCCCCCAACACACACACATTCATAGTACCAGCAGGATCTTACTCTAGTCTCAGAGGAACTAATTGCGAGACTGACTGACAGCAGAGCAACCAGCTCCTCCATCCACAGTCAGCGGTATATGTGCCACTGATCTTGCAAGGTCAAGCTAGACCCCAATACACCCCCCCCCCCCACCCCACACACACACATTCACAGTACCAGCGGGATCGTACTCTAATCTCAGAGGAACTAATTGCGAGATTGCCTGACAGCAGAGCAACCAGCTCCATCCACGCTGTGCGCGTTTATGCCATGCCACCTCTGAGGCCATACTCACACTAGCACTTTCCTAAATGTATCTGAATACAACTGCAGCCAGGGAAGGACGCATCTGACAGCAATCACATGCAAAGCTCACCTGAAAAAGTCCCAATGCAAGTATGCCCTGGAAAAAGAGGCCTTCACTTGTTCCTCTCGCAGTGATAACAGGGGAGATGCAAGGGGCCTCAGCCTCCTGGTCATCTTGGAGCTGAGCCACCTGAAAGCACCTCCGAGTGATACGCTGAGCGTTTCACTTGAGGATTGTGAAGCTTTGCGTCTTCGCTCTACAAAGAGATGCAACCGAGGTAGACCTTTCGTGACAACTAGCACCACAATAGGCTCCATGATTGGCCATAGCAGAAGGGCCAACAAGCACAACAATGGGCTCTCGTGACAACTAACACCACAATAGGCTCCTCGATTGCCCATGGTGACAACTAACAAGGTGCCACCAACAGACAGAATGGAAGTTTAAGCCGCCACCGCCATGCACCTCGTCAGACACTTCCAGCCCATGGAAAAAAAGGAGGCTGTGTTCTCAATATACTGGCCTGCCTGCAGCCGGTCCGGTGAGAAATTGATGGGAAATTTCTCTTCAGGTGAAAAAATCAAGTGCGCCACAGTGGTGGTTTAGATTCTTATGCTGCAACCATCACACCCAAAGCATGGCAGTCTCTATGTGACATAATAACAAAATAACAGGCTTCCCCTCACCCAACCACAACCGTTTGGTGTAAGAGTAACTTACTTGGCACAGAAATTAATGTGTTTTGATCAGCTCTGAGAACTCTCAATTCCCCAAGAAGCCCCAACTCCACAGGTAATGTTGCCAACTTGTTATTATCCAAGTATAACTTCTGTAACCCAGTCAGTGCTGAAATCTCTGGTGGAAGAACCTGCACAACCGTGGCCATGAGCCTACCACAGAGCACATTAGAACCTCTCTCTCTCTCTCTCTACACACACACACGTACACGCACACATGCAAACACACTCGTGTGCACACACATACATTAGCCTCTCTCTCTCTCTCTCTCTCTCTCTCTCTCTCTCTCTCTCTCTCTCTCTCTCTCTCTCTCTCTCACACACACACACACACACACACACACNCACACACACACACACACACACACACACACACACACACACACACACACACACACACATGCACGCAGACACATAAACACACTCGTGTGCACACAAATGCACACAGACACATAAACACACTCGTGTGCACACACATGCATTCGCCTGCTAACACACACACACACACACACACACACACACACATGCGCATATACACAGGCACCACCATCTGATGAATGAGAAATGGATGGAAATGGCAATCTCTCAACCCTACCAATTGTTTTTTTTTTTTTTTTTTTTAATGAGGCCCACAGAGGCAAAACCCCCTCTTCCCTTTACCTCCTTCAGGATCTTCTTGGGAAAGATGAACAGAGCATCTAAATCTGGTTGCTGTCATATCTCCTGTGTCATATCATCCCTTCGTCCTTGCATTACTTTTTGCCTACGTGCCCTAGCCAGCATCACTTCCGTAGTGCAATCGTAAGTGACGTCCAGTCTGGATCCAAAATTGAGAATCACCATGGTCGTATACTTGCATTCAGATTTAGCACAGGTCAACATTTGGTTGGGGAAGGGGGGAGAGAAAGTCACAGATGCATGCTTCAAAAGCAAATGATATCAATCCAAATGCATCCAGATGCACATAAAGTCCGCTTGGGCCAGCGTACAGTACTCAGGGTTGAGTGGACCAGTAGTTCTTACAGGACTCAACATGCAAAGTTGCAAACGCTGTTATAGAACTTAAGATGCAAACAAACGGTTCACAAGAAGATCAGCCACGGATCCTTGCTTTAAACAAGAATGGCCAGCAGCCCTTACTCCATTGTGGCAACCGCCTGAACACTCTGCACGCCAACTTCCTTGCATGCCACAATCCTTTCTTCTCCCCTTTTCCTTTTTCTCCCCTTCACTACATAATCCAAGTTGTTTCAAGAACTCCGACAGCAGAGCCTCTTGAGAACTCGTATGAGCTGTAATTCCGAAACCTGCACGCCAACTTCCTTGAAAACCACAATCCTTTCTTCTCCCCTTTTTCTTTTTCTCCCCTTTACTACATAATTCATGTTGTTTCAAGAACTCTGACAGCAGAGCCTCTTGAGAACTCGTCTGAGTTGTAATTCCGAAACAACAGATTCGCTTCTTGCTTCAAAAGTAGCCTCGAAAGTTTCGCCAGAAGTTTTTTGACTGAATAAAACAAAACCCACAAAACTAATAGCTACTAGAATTTTGCCCTTGTAAATCCTGGTCTGGAATAGAAATCTGAAGACAAAACTCTCAACTGAAGTCCAATGAATATTGCCCCAGTAATCCGTTTGAACAATTAAATACATTCTATTCATATTTCAATTCACAAGTATTACATAAATCCTAAGTCTCCAATTAACTGGGGCTTGTTAGAGAATCCTGTTCCTATCCAACGTATATATATAGCTTGGCTAGCCTACCTCTTTCTCTGGTGTCGATCGTTTTAAATGGTTGCCCCTAACCTTGCTGTATCCATGTGATTCCATCCTGACCATAAGTCATGATCCGTTCATTAACAGTTAGATGTGTGTACCATTCAGAAGGGCACATATGCATTTTATTCAAAGTACATACATTGTCCACTCAGATTTCCACTCCATGGGAGAGGTCGTGGACTTCGCTTCACTGAGAAAGAGACAGTTCTGAAGGAGGACGGAGGCCGCTACGGGAGACATTCTGGTGCAACTGATATTCACCCCTACAACAAGCCCACTTGGGCCTCCCATCCACTACTGTTACCGAGGAGGAGAGTGGGGACCACAGCTGAAGGATATGGCTATGGCATCATTGCGTCTCAAGAAAGGAGGACGGCTGCATCACGGCTGGACACGTACAGGAAATCGGAAAGGGAGGTGCCACAGCAAAGAAGATAGTACCTTGCACTTCAATTAACTGTTTTCCGTCTACACTCAGCATCATTGAAGGCCCCCAGATAGATTCGTGCATAGTCTTTCTCAGATTACACTTTTATCTTTTGTGGACTGATTGGTTTGTCAAACTTTATTCGTAAATTTTGTAGTCCATCTCGCCTGAAGCTCCTGTGTCTGTCTTGCGGAGTTTTACCCAATTGTACTTTTTGTGAGGTTATCGTGGTGGCTTTCAGCCTGGCACCACTCTATAGCCTGTCTCTTATACACATCTAGATGTGTATAAGAGACAGGTGTCTGTCTTGCGGAGTTTTACCCAATTGTACTTTTTGTGAGGTTATCGTGGTGGCTTTCAGCCTGGCACCACTCTATAGCTTTGTTTGTTGCTCTCAGGACTCCCGATTTCCTTTCTGTTGGTATCCGTCTGACGGCATCTGTTCAGGGTATTAGAAGTGTCCGGTGGATTTTTAGTAATAGTCGTTTCCATACCTGGTGCCTTGGTCCTCAGATTGTTCTTCTGACAGCACGCTCCCGCTTTTTACCCGTGCAAGGCAAAACGGACAGACACCATAGCTGAGGATGTGAGACTCGGATCGGAATAGCTGAGGATCTACAACTCAGATTATAGCTGACGATCTGAGACTCGGATCAGAATAGCTGAGTATCTGAGACTCGGATTGGGATAGGCTAGGAATGGCTGAGGATCTGAGACTGGTCGGAATAGAGGGTGTGAGACTAACAAAGACGCACGTGGCCGTATTTCGTGTGTAGGGCATGGGACTCATCATCCCGCAAGGGAAGAGAAAACATAGCATGTTCCAAAAACGCTGTTGAGGTTTTTGTGTCGCCATCTTGATAAATAAAATAAAATAAAATTGCCCAAGAGGACAGTGCGAGCCCCCTGACGTTTACAGAGTTGAGCCTGTTCTGGCGAATTGGAGTCACGGATCGGAATAGCTGAGGACGTAAGCTTCATTCAGGTTGGAAGAGCTGAGGATGTGAGACTCTGATCGGAATAGCTGAGGATCTGAGACTCAGATAGACGAGGATGTGAGGGGGTCTGAATAGCTGAGGATGTGAAATAGCTAAGGATCTGAGACTCAGACAGATGAGGATGTGAGGGGGTCGGAATAGCTGAGGATCTGAGACTCAGATAGATGAGGATGTGAGGGGGTCGGAATAGCTGAGGATCTGAGACTCAGATAGATGAGGATGTGAGGGGGTCTGAATAGCTGAAGATCTAAGGCTCAGATCAGAATAGCTGGGGATGTGAAACTCTCACGGGAACACCTGATGACGTGAGACTCGGATCGGAATAGCCGAGGACCAGAATAGCTAAAGGTCGGAGTAACTTGGGAATAGCCGAGGATGCGCAACTCGGATCAGAATAGCTGAAGATGTGAGACTCGGACTGGAATAGCTGAGGATAGGAGACTCAGATCGGGATAGATGAGGAGGCGAGACTCGGATCGGGATAGATGAGGATGCGAGACTGGGATCGGAGGGTGCCTAGTGACTCTGCCACTGAAACAGGAGAGCCTCTTCTCTGGACCGTCAGATCGTTTCTAATCTGACAGTCCAGGAGGAAGGCGTTGACCCAGCACACCAAGGAGAATAATACATTGGGGAGAGAGAGAGAGAGAGAGAGAGAGAGAGAGAGAGAGAGAGGCAATCGCATGGGTGTCGGAGTGGGAATAAATCCGTCTGTCAATGGAGATATTTGAGGCTGACACTTGGCACTAGGTTGAAGCGGAAGGCGCAATAATTTGGAGCAGTTTGCCGTGCGCACAATGCAGCATTGATGAGAGTGAGAGGACGTGGTTGTGACGATCTCCGTGGTAATGACTCTGATGATGTCCTTGATGATGATGATGACGACACTGATGATGTCGATCATCTGAAGTTTCAATATTTGGTGCACTCCCCAAGTGCACTATGGATGCGTGAACGAAGGCTCGAGTCTCTCTGTCACCCTCTTCTGCCTGACTCTCCTCATGTACTGATCTCACGGCCGTCCGCGCAACCCCCTCCACCTGGATAAACCAGTGTCCTATTCTCCCTGGTCTTGCTGGTCCAACATGTCCCATCTGGGCCGACAGACCAGCAGAGAGAGGCAGACACGTCAGGCAGAAGAGGGTGACAGAGAGACTCGAGCCTTCATTCACGCATCCATAGTGCACTTGGGGAGTGCACCAAATATTGAAACTGCAGCTAACCGACATCATCAGTGTCGTCATCATTATCATCATCATCATCATCAACGACATCATCACAGTCATTACCACGGAGATCGTCACAACCACGTCCTCTCATCAATGCCGTCATTGTCCGCACGGCAAACTGCTCCGAATTATTATGCCTCCCGCTTCAACCTAGTGCCACGTGTCAGCCTCAAATATCTCCATTGACAGACGGATTTATTCCCACTCCGACACCCATGCGATCGATGAGGCACACGTTTCCACATGCCGAATTGATGATGCACAGTCTTGCCAGACTCCATCCACAGCACAATTAACCACAGTTTAGAAAAACGAGTATAGCAGAGAGACTGCTCGACCAATGTTCAGCCAGTGTTTAGCCTACCGTCTTCACCCGAATAGAACGCCCGCTTATTATAGCTGAATCTGGACTGAAAAGTGCACCAAATACGGCTATACTGACTGCGCACAACTAACCACAGTTCAGAAAAACAGAGTATAGCAGAGAGACTGCTCGACCACTGTTCAGTCAGTGTTTAGCCTACCTTCTTCACCCGAAGAGAACGCCCGCTTACTATAGCTGAATCTCGACTGAAAAGTGCACCAAATACGGCTATACTGACCGGGCGTTCTTTTCGGGTGAAGACGGTAGATCTTGTCGAGGGACAGTTTTTGCACAGACTGCCAAGAGATCAAAGCACGCAATTGAGCCAGAGT